AAGAAGAAGAAGAAGAAGAAGAAGAAGAAGAAGAAGAAGAAGAAGAAAAGAAGGAGGAGGAGGAGGAGGAACAACTCTGGACAACTATCATAATGAGAAAGACCATTTGAAAGAAGGGGCATTATTTTACGATATAGGAAGATGTGACCACAGAATAAACTTCAGTCCTTTCAGCCCAGTGGGGGTTGCTCTGTGGAAGGCTCCCTACACTGCCTTCTCCCCACTGGAAGACCGGCTTCAGGACCAGGAGGGCGGCGACATTGGCCGTTTTTGTTACCCTAGGGCTTGTGGAGAGAGTCTGAAGTCCCGCTCTGGAAGGGGAGTGGAACAGGGTCTTGCCACCCGAAATGTGCCCCTCCAGGGCTGCTTCCCCAGTCCCTGGAGGAAGAATGAGGAGACAGGTCGCTGCCGTCCTGAGGCCCTCATCTGCCCGGGCTGCGTCATGAGCACCCGTGAGACTTGGCTCTCTCACCCGTGAACCCTTCCTCGTGGTGCCCCCTCCTGCCGTTCCTCAGCCCGCTCCTGACACCCACATTCGGCTCAGCGCTGCGAGACAGCGGTGACACGTGGGTGGCATCTCCTCTCTGCAAGGAATTTACAGTCTGGCCAGGAAGATGAAAACCACGTGGCCCTGCAGTGGCAGTAAGAGGACAGAATGGGAGACCACTGAATCTCGGTCCGAGTCGGCTGTGAGTGTTGTCTTCATCATCTGAGCCACTCTAGTGGGTCAGGCCTGGCAGGGAGCTTGGCCCTTGCTGGCGCTTTGCAAATGTTGAATGAATGAATGAGAACTGGAACGGTCTTTGAGGAAAAGATAAACGGTGGGCCGAGCCTTGAAGAATGGGTGAGATCTGTACAGGAGTGGAGGATGAGGTGTTTGGAAGGGTAGTGGAGGGGGGAGCGGCGGGAACATCGTCAATCAAGGACATCCATTCAACGAATATTTGTTGAGCACTTACTATGTATTGGGCATCGGCTATAACGGATCTAATGGTCAAAAATACAAGTAAACAAACACTTAAGGTTATTGCAGATAGAACTCAAGGTAAAGTGTTGAGAGAGTGCCAGGTGAGGGGTGGGGGTTACTTTAGAAAGGGTGGTCCCAGAGAAGATGTCCCCAGGAGGTGACATTTGTCCCACGATCTGGAGGAGGAATGTTTCAAGCAGAAGGAGCAGCAGGAAGGAGCTTGGTTTTGCCATCAGCTTGACGTTGTTGTGGTGGTCAACTCAGAGAAAGTCAGGGAAGGCTCACGGAGATGAACCAATGCGATTAAACCACGAGCATGGTGACTAGCCGGAGAAGCATGCCGGGAGAATTCAGCTGATAAAGCTGCAAGACCTGGGAGACTCCCAGGTAACTGTGGTCGGCAGAATAATGCCCCTGCAACTGTGTCCCCGGCCGAATCCCCAGAAACTGTGACTATGGTACTTTACATGGCAAAGGGGGATTAAAACAGCAGATGGGATTAAG